TTCGACATTAACCCGTCTTTATCTCACGATAAAAAACAAAAACTTAAAACGTTGTTGAATAATTATAATGAAATTTTTTCAAAGACTAAATTCGACTTGGGCAAGGTAAAATTACCAGATATTGAATTAAAATTAAATCGCGATCAAATAATAAATTTACCGAATTTCAAGTTAAGCGTTAAAGAACGGGCCGAGGTAGAAAAACAAACTAACGAGTTATTAAAGGCCGGCATAATAGAACCGTCAAATAGTCCATATAGTAATCCGGTATTTTTAGTAGGTAAAAATCTCCCACAGGGTGACAAAAAAGGGGCCACCCCTAAGGAGTATCGCATGGTTTTAGATTATAGAAAATTAAATTCGATTTTATTAAAAGAAAGTTTTCCCATGCCGATAATTCAAAATATATATGACTGCTTAGCTGGTAACCACTATTTTTCATTATTAGACGCGTCCAGTGGTTTTTATCAATTCAAACTATCTAAAAATTCTCGACAATATACAGCTTTTTCTACTGATACGGGACATTTTCAATTCAAAAGACTTCCAATGGGACTTAATAATGCTCCAGCAATATATCAGGCCGCTATGTGCAAAATTATGGGAGGTCTTACTTATAAAAATAATATTTGCTACTTAGATGATTGCACAGTTTTTGGAAAATCTTTCGATCAATACTTATATTCATTAGATATAACATTACAGAGATTTAGACAGTATAATCTAAAATTGAAGCCAACAAAATGTAAATTCGGATACGAGGAAATACAAGTACTCGGTAATATCATAAATTCGAAAGGCATTAGGCCAACCGATGAGGGCATTGAATGAATCGGTTAAAAATTCCCCTCCCCTAACACTATTAAACAACTTCGTAGGTTTTTAGGACTTGCCAATTATTTCAGAAAATTTACAACCCACTTTTTCAGTGTTGGAAGCGAAGTTCGCACACTCAAAAGTTACAAATCTATTTATTAGATACCATTGACTTTTCAACCTCTCCTCTACAACTCAACTGTCTTAAAACAAATCTAACAGTCTTTTTAAAGATAGATAGATTCTTTATTTAATTCAGTTCTTATATCCAAATCTTATCATGGATCAAAAACAATCCGGAGTGCCTTCTGAAACAAAACCTCGGGGTAACCGCGGTAAACCTGAAAACCAGAAAAACATGCACACGGAAAATCTACATAAGCCTAAACCACCAAAAGATGATTGGAAACCAAATAATCCGAAAAGCAACCTCCCTGCTGAGCTTCCTGGTCCTACCAGGAAACACGACACTAGCCACGTCCGAGTCACGGAAACTAATCCGTGCGACAGCTCGTTGTTCGGAACGAACATGTCCATTAGGGAAACATCTCCACGCTTAATGTTCACACCATCAGCTCCTGCACTAATTGACATTTCACGTCAAACTTATGCTGAGCTGATTACTGATGATGCCAACCTATCAAAATACTTACTATTTCATAAACTTTCAAAATATATTAACAGTCTTTTGTTTTCACATAATAATGATAATAATAATTCAACATAAAAAATAACAACGTAAAGTAAAACTTATAAACAAAATAACAAACGAACAGCCTTTTTAGTTTTAAAACATATCACATAAATGAATGTATGATTAAGTAGGTAACTTAGGTACATCGCCGTCTTGTTTTGTTACAACGTGGTGCGGTATAAAATATCGACCGGACCGAGTCGCGCGCTTCATGTGCCCGAGCGATAGATTTTCGTCCATAAACGAACGATAAGCGTCTTACAGTTCGAATCTTTGATAAGACGACGTTCTAAATTTTGACACGGTACCGTCTCGTTCTCAGTAGTATAGTGGTAAGTATCCCCGCCTATCACGCGGGTGACTGGGGTTCGATTCGTCGCCGGGAAGCCAGTTTATTCGGAGACCAGTGTGGCAGGATCGCACTAATTTATGTCTCAACGGACGACGTTTATATATTGGTATATATATATACACAGGGCTGTGCAATTTTAGTTACAATTGGTGACGATTCACCCAAAACAAAAATACCAATGAGTTAACACGTAATCCAATATGGCACGATGGCACTGAAAATAATAGGATCACACAGAAAAAACGAACAGTTGAAGTATCCGTCCGAAACGCAACAGAACGCCATATCCGTAATCTATACTCGGCGGCGGCCTTATCTCGGTGTCTAGGGCGGGGAGACAACTGATTGTGATTAGTATTAATAGCTGTACGGCTGATATCGCTTGAGACACGGGTGGCGCCAGCCTAAAGCGACTGCCCGTGCCGTGTCAATTAATAATCGTTTTAGAGCAATTGACCGCGTATCACCAAATTTATATAAGAAACATTAGTGATTTGTGTAATGTCATCATCACTGTGCATAAGTACTTGTTGACCAAATGGTATGGCAACGCAAAATCTCCACGAGGTTTCGCGTGTAGTCGTTTTTGCAAACCAACGTTCACATTGTTCATTTTCAGTAGTCGGATGTTCGGGCGCGACGGGTTCTTCAACGGACCAAAATTTTTGCATAAGACAATCAATGGATGGTGACGAGCATACGGACAGCGAAACTAGCGATGTCTGTTGTGGCTGACTGACTGTACCTACAATAATCCACCCGAGCAGAGTATCCAATGCAGACGGAAAACCAAGAGTATGAATAACGTCACCTTGAGAACGTACTATTTGAGGAAATATATCACCACTTAATAAAATGTCAATATGTGACGGTGTGTCAAATTTGGGGTCAGCCAATTGTAAGTGCCGGTATTGTTTAAGTACCACGGGTGGTCATACAATGGACGGCATAGGCGCTGTGATAGTCGGAATTATTATCATGTCGCGACAAACAAACGATGGGTCTGTATTGAAATGCGGACTAAATCGACAATCAGTCATACCTTCGACCTTAGCGACTGGCTCTTGAGATAATCCGATTATATTTGTTGCACGTTTTCGTTGTGTTAAACTGAGCCGTGAAAAACATTCGGTCGTATTAGCGGACACTATGCCAGGACTCGTTGAATGAACGAGTACTTACTTTAGTTTTATTCTTCACATTTGAAGAATAAATATGGTCTAATTTAATTGCCGGACGACCTTCAAATAGAATTTGCTTTTTTTGAAATTCACTTCGACGTGAAAAGGGAGTCTCATTTAATGACATAATAATGTCATTGTGTGGTAAGCATTGATGTCATGTGGGGTAAGCATAGATTAGGAACAATAACGACATAATGTCCATTCCATTTAATTTTTATGTAAAATGTCGTGTTTCGCATTTAAAACCACCTGGCACACGATGGTGTTCACCGCTGAGGAAAATTTTCATTAGCCTCATTTTACCAAGTATTCACGACTTTCTCTCACCAATCAATCTTAATAATCCAGTATAGCAACTGAATCAACAAAAAGTTTGCCTCTCGGACCTCATCGGTTTGTTTCGTAATCAGTCATGTAACGTGTTGTCATTTTTTAATCATTATCGAACGGCGAGCGCAGACCTTTTGTTTCGGCACTGACTACCGTGTTATATCTCGCTGTGTTTGTGCAGCGTCAGTCAGGCGCAACATTATGTTATCTATTTTCGTCCCATTATCTTTTGTGGTTCAAGATTACAAATTGCGTTAATTATAAAAATAAATTATAATATTTTGAAAGATATTTGATATTGATAGAGGCTAGAAATAAATAAATTATTATAAGGTAAATTGCAGGTGAGATTGTGCCTCACCCGGCGAGCCGCCACGTTTTTATAAATAATAGATTTGATACTAATTTAACAACTTAATTATATATACTTTGTATAACACAAATATAATGAGTTTATTCACAAAATATTAAAATAAAAATTATACAATATCTAAACCACCATTCTTGTGTGCAAAACAAAATGTAGGCCTTATCCTCGGTAAATATTTCATATGTATTTTAACCATTTTTTCGGTAAAATGAACATAAGACGATTGATAATGTTCATCAGATTAATAAAAATTTGACGATGTTCATCTATTGAATTTTTGAGGATATCGTCAGGTACAATAGAATACGAAGTAATAATATTTATTATTTTATTAAGTAAAATATATAAACTCCACACTTGAATACCTTTGAATACCAAATCCCCAATAATAAATCCTAAATACTTAGTGAAACACAGTTTCACTAGCATTCATTGTAAGCATTTGAGGGTTTGAATTTTTTAAATGAATTTAAGTTGTCGCCTAAAATAAGGGCTAACGAAAAATATATTTTAATGTTTAAATTATTCACATTGATAAGGATCCCGTTTGTTTCTATCATATTAATATCTGAAATCAATTTATGAAATATTGTAAAATTTCCCAAATTTTTTTTATCGGATGTGTGAAACGGCAATATTAAAAATATATTTTCTAATTTGGAAGAAAATTCTGGAGGACAACCAGGTAAACTTAAGTACACTGTTCCCAGTGGCGTATTTTGGGGGGGTGTCCTCCATGTCTGGACACCCCCCTACTTAAAAAAAATGTCTAATATATTGGTATTAACTTTTTTTTATAATAAATTATATTTATTTACTAAAAATAAATGGTATTTTAAATAAATAACAAAATTGAAGATAATTTGATAGGATTCGACACGTATTTATCTACATTTTATCAGAGATTTCTAGAAATTATTTGGATTTCATTGGGTTATTTATATAATAAAAATACCCGTAGGAAAAATATAACAACAACGGAAATATTCTGAACTTGTAGTTAATTTTTAAAGTTATTTTATAGTTTATGAGTTTAGAGAATTATAAACAAATAAGTTTAGTTACCATAGGGGTAACTTAATTGTATCCATAACTGTATATTATAATATTTGTATATTCACATAACAAGAACAATAAATTATTTCAGTCAAGATAAATTTATATTAAATTTGAATTTCTTTAATGAAATAATGTTACAAAGAAAAATAAGAGTAAAATAAAATAACAAAACAACAATTAAACATAGAAAAAGTAAAAAAAATGTTTGGTGGTATACAAATAAAAATTTCAATTTATAGTGAATATTAAGAAAATTGATATAAAATACAACAATAAAATTTCATTCATAAAAATATTAATAGAATAGCTCGCCAGCAATAATTTCATTTTTGTGTCTTAATCTTATAAAAGGCATAAAATTTGCATTTATTGGTGTTGTATCTCCTCGAGACATTTTTTCTGCCAGCTCAACAGTAAATGGCCCACAATCATGTCCATTGGTTTGGCGAGATGTCTCGCCTATTTGTAATGTCCATGTAGAAGCTTTTCCTTTTTTGTCCATCTCCCATTCAATTAAGAAATTTTTTAATACCATTGGATAAGGACCCTTATACGACTTAAGACTATCATATGATGTCACAGTCCTTTCTGGTATATTAACCACTGTCAATATCCAATGACTCCCATATACATTCATGGGAACAAAAAGTAATTTTATTGTGTGAATATCTTTTTTTATCCATCTTCTTACAGCTGGATAACCTCCTCGAAGATACGCTACAATAAAATCAGTGACAACTGCATAAACTTCACCTTCTGACCGTTTTACTATCATTTTAATGTACTCATTAATTGTGTCTGAAGTATACCATGATGTGGGCGATTTAAATGAAGGTGCATTATACTGATCAAGAGATTTTGTGTTCTGATCTTGCATTACTTCTGCAAGTGTAACCATATTTAAACATTTTTCATAAAATTAATAAAAGACTTTGTTGAACAGTTTACTATTATTTAGGTTTATTTAAGGTTTTGGAATATGAAATTAAACACGTATAATTACTTTTGTTTAAAACGTCCATGGACCCCCTTAATGACACGCCTCTGCAGAAGTTATATTAATTTAACTCGTATTATTATAATTAATTATGTTTAATAAATAATCTTTTTTTATTTAATTTTACATAAAATAAATAGATTAAATAACTAATTACCTTTTTCTTTCTCTGGTACTTTTATTACTTCAATAGTGGACAGAGCAAGTAAATTTACGTCATTCGGCGTATTTAAGGTCAAAGGATTAGAACTAACTTTTGGCTCTAAAATAATTTATGTTTAAAAATATTACATATTTGTTTCAAAAATCAAAACTTCATATTTTTTAAAAATGAATTATATTTTAAAAGTTGTATACTTTTTATGACTTTTTCATCTTCTTCGGATGAATTTCTTTTTAAATTTGGTCGAGCAGTAGTATTAGAAGATATCTCAAAAAGTTGTTTTTTTATTTCGGATTTTTTGCGTTCCAAATTTTTCTTATGAAAACTCTTAACGGATCATAAAAATATATTTAATTATATGATAAATTTATTTAAGAAATCTGCTTTAAGTCCAAAAAATGGTTTAGGGTATACCCTAAAATCTTTTTATTGAAATAAAGCATAATAAAATATACCTTTTCTAACAAATCAGCTGATATTAATAGCGGATTGTCTTTTGAAATTGCTATATTTTTTTTTTCTGTTGAATTTAAAATTTCATTTTTATATTTTTCAGATTTTTCATTCTGAAAAAGTGTTCCGAATTCTCTTTGCTGCATCATATTCTAGGTAACCAAAGAGATATTTAAATAAACAAATAAACTATACTTAATATTATATTATTATCTTCGATAAAAATTGAATTTCCCATAAAAATCTAATAGAAAAAATAGCAGAATAATATTAAACATTATGTTACCGCATTTATATTAAGGGGGTTGATAGTTTATTTTATATTTTTGAATCAGACAAACCCCAATAACATAGCTAAATCGAATAAATATATTAATATAATTATAGTTACCAATTTTTCTGGAATAATTTTATCATTTTTATTAGTTTTTCGATACGTGCATTTTGTTGGAATAATGGAATTTTTTATAGGATAAATATTTTTATTAATAATTGCTGCAAATTGAATATAATTTTAATAATTATTAATTAAATAATCAATTTCGAAAAAGGTTTTTAATATNAACCAAAGAGATATTTAAATAAACAAATAAACTATACTTAATATTATATTATTATTTTCGATAAAAATTGAATTTCCCATAAAAATCTAATAGAAAAAATAACAGAATAATATTAAACATTACTTCTAATTATTATACATTTATTATTATACTAATTATACAACTAATTATTTCTTAATAGTGTTTACAGATAATTCTTCTATCTTTATTNTTTTTCTCTATTCGAAATAATTAGTTTAATTATTAATCTTAATAGTGTTTACAGATAATTCTTCCATCTTTAGTTGACTTTTTTAATACTTGTCCTTTATTTGGATCATTTAAAACACAATTGGAATTCATGAAACGTCGATTCCATATTTCTTCAACTCTGCGTATAACCTTATATNTATTTCTTCAACTCTGCGTATGACCTTATGTAAGTTTGATTCATTTGTTTGACCAAAAATATTTTTTTCACTTGCCATATCAATAACTAATTAAATAAATCTTAATAATTACACAAGACGATAGTTTATTTTTCACGGGAAAAAACGAAGTGAACTGAAATGTTGATAAAATCAACATTTACAACTAATCATCTAGGAAACTTAATAGTAAAAATTCATTAAAAAAATTNTAATTGTAAAAATTCATTAAAAAAATGTATAAGCCAATTATAAATAAATTTAGTATATACAATACTTATTTATTTTAATTGTATTATTGGTCAAAGAATACAATATTTTAAGAATTTATTACAGAGAATTATCAAAAAAAAATATATATATATATTTTAAAGATATTTTGAAGAAAAACCTTTTGTATTTGTTTGTTTATTTATTACATTAGTTTACAAATGATAGAGATTTTTTATGAAAGTTCAAGTGGAATAAATTTGATATCGGTTAACAGAATATTTATGCATATAAAATTTAATCTGTATGAAATAAAATATCAACGTTTGGATTTATTCTCTTGCAACTATTAAAAATTTTGCCCATGTGAAATTGCTATTTCCATTTAGTTATTAACAAAAAACATCATGCCATGCGATTATAATCAACATAAAAATTTATTAAGTTGAATATATAATATAGTTTAACAATTTAATTAATAATTGAATTAATGACATAATAATTCTGATAAAAGAAAATAACAGGAGATTTGAATTAATTTTAACGACTTTAACAAATCGAAAATAACTTTAGGGTTTAACTACCTTATAGGTTTAATTATTATTTGCATTTTTAATGTTATTATTATTATTTATTATTTTTTTTTTTTTGACAATAACGGCTATCTTTGTAACTTCAATATATATCAAGAAAATGACAAGTTATCCAAGAAAATCAAGGAAATTTTAGAGAAATATTAAGAAACAGAGCCCAAGGAGATGACCGTTTAAAATCATTTTTGGAAGCTGAAGAAACAATAAAATATACATGTGAAACACTTCAAAATGAAATAATTGAAACCTGCAATAAAATTATTTTAAATAAAATCGTAACAAACTTAAATGCCCAAAGATGTTTTANTAACAAACATAAATGCCCAAAGATGTTTCAAAATACTTGCTGATGAAACGGCCGACATTGGTGGAAGCGAACAAGTAACTTTGTGTGTTTGATATTTAGATGTTGAAAATATGATTACCAAGGAAGAATTCTTCAGTTTGTACCTACAAAAGATACTACTGGAAAAGGTTTATATATTATTATTCAAAGTTTACATTCATTTGGTTTAGAAACAAAATACGTTAGAGGACAGTGTTACGATGGATGTGCTT